CCTTGAGCTCACTTTGTAGCCCAGGCTGGTCTCGAACTCACAATGATCCTCCTGCCTCAGCCTCCTGAGTGCTGGGATTACAGGTGTGCACCACCACGCCCGGCCTGCATGGTTCTCTAATGTTGGAAAAGTCAGAACCTGGGTCTTAGCTCGGGGGTGTGTGTGTGTCTGTGTGTGTGTGTTGGGGACTGAACGGAGGGCCTCATGCATGCTAAGCAAGCACAGGCGGTACCACTGAACTACACTCCAGGCTTATAATACACTTCTTTTATGTAAGTAGTTTGGTGCAGACACCCATTTACCAGTGCTGGGAAAAGGCTGCATCATGGTCCAGGGAAGCAGCATTTCCCATCAAGCCTCACACTGAGTTCTTTGCAAAGAGACTTAGTGTCATCCCTAGGAGTGGTTGTTCATTTAATCTGGGGCTGGCCAATTCACCTTGCTCAGGATGGCAACCCACCTACAACTAATGCCAGCAAAGTACTGAGGTTAAGGCAGATGTGCCCACTTTGCATGAAGACACATCTCCGTCCTAGAAGGGGAGGAACAAACGGTTTTGCAGGTAACGCACACTGAGACACCAAGAAAGACTGGTGGGAGCAGAAAATGGTGGGAGCAGATGCTTTAAAATGGTTGCTTCTCGCCTCTATTCCCCAAACACTCGCCCTCCCCAAGCCCACGTCCTGCGCGGGGAGGGGGCAAAACCACTTCCGAGAGGTCAGGCGGCATCCCAGCAAAGGATCTGTAGAAGACAACTGATGAACGCAAACTGGCTCAAACCCGCAAAACGTCTGGAAGTGCTGGAACTTTGACCCGAGCACGAGCACTCGTTCTGTCGGCGTCCCAAAGGCGCCACTACCTTCCAGGGGCTCGGCTTGGTCCAGTCGGGCTTCCGTAGTTCCTCTCGCTAGAAGTTCTCGTCCTGAAAAGCGCGCGAGAGTTGTGTCCCCGCTCCTTCCCATCATCCCCTTGTTAGTCCCGCCCTGCCGTCTTTGCTTTATTTCCAGCTCGCGACTGGCGAGTGCGGAGCTTGTTGTGTGTTAAGCTCCCTGCTCGGATAGTGGTACCGACGCGCGTGACGGGCGCGCGCGGCCCTTTGCTCTCGGTTGTCCCATTCTTCTGCCCTCTCTCTGGTCTCCCGGCTGAGAACCCCGTGTCTCCCTCTCGCGCGTCCGGGTCGCCCGGAAAGCAAGCCGGCCCGCGCGCGCGAGCAACGGCCGCGGCCGCTCCCAGGTGGGGGAGGGGTGGGCCGGGGGAGGCGGGCGGGGCTGAGGGCCGGGATCCTGCCCCGGGGCGCAGGCCGGGTGGGGGACCTTTGGGACCTCCGAGTGAAAGTGTCGGGGCTTCTGTCTGAGATGGCGCGGGCCGCGGAGGGCCGGCCTTGGCGGGAGGGAGGCGGGCGCGCTGCCTCTGCGGGAGCGTCTCTCACCTTGTCCGTGCCCAACGCCCTGCCCAACCCTGCCCGGGTCCCAGGCCCCCTCGGACCGCGCTATGGGTGACAGCGATGACGAGTACGATCGAAGGCGCAGGGACAAGTTCAGAAGAGAGCGTAGCGATTATGACCGTTCTCGAGAAAGAGATGAAAGACGGCGAGGAGATGATTGGAATGACCGGTAATTTTGTCTTCTTGTTTGATTCCGTTCCATTTTACACTTGTTTTTTTTTTTTTTTTCCTCGTTATGGTTTTATTAGGGTGAACCGTAGTGAAGTTCCTTCTTGGACCGTTTTTTTGTGGTTCTGCCTGCTTGCCTTTGGCTAGAGAACTGGATAGGGCTTAATTTTTGACAAGTCCTCAAGAGCACAGCGATAGAGCTCAGATTTTGTGTATGAAAAAAACACTACTTACCACAAGCACCAAAAGTATGTGCCTGTGTTCGTAAATTGTACTTTAAAAAAGGTTGAAAAGTCCATAATGCACAATTTTTTTTTTGTACCGGGAATTGAACTCAGGACCTTGAACTTGCGATGCAGGTGCTTATGCCGCTGAGCTATATCCCCGGCCCCGATAATACACAATTGACCAGACTGGAGAGGTTGTAATACTGGTTTCCTAAAAGGTAGAAACATACATGTAGATATATAGATATATGGCCCTCTCTGTCTGCCTGTCTGTGTACATATATTTATATATATATGTATGTATAAATATATACACACACAGATTTTTTTAAATGTTAAATTTATTGGGTTTTTTTTTTCAGACAGCGTCTTAATATGTAGCCCAGGCTGGTCTTGAAACCACCACAATTCTCCTGCCTCAGCTTCCCAAGAGCTAGGATTACAGGCGTGCTCCACCATGCCTGGTTTCAATCAGTTCTTATTAGTGTTCTGAGATGTCTTTTTTTTTTTTTTTTCTTTTTGTTTTTTTGATTTTTGATAAAGTCTTTCCAGGTAGCCTAGGTTGGCCTCAAACTTGTGATCCTCCTGCCTCAGCCTTCTGAGTGCTGGGATCACAAGTGTGCTGGGATTACAGGGGCATAAAAAATACTCAGATATTTTTGCCTATGGTGCACACCTATAATCTCAACTGCTTGCGAAGCTTGAGGCTGAAGGATCTTGAATTCCAGATCAGCCTGGGCAACACAGATCTCAACAACTGGAAAAAATACACACAGAGACAAACTTTCAATGAGTGAATGGCAGTGTCTCAATTTGGAAACATTTTCCTAGTAGTTTGAAGCAACTTTGTGTGATAAGAATCTATTTGTTCCTTATTGTTGGGAAAAAGTCAGTTTAGTAAATTGATCAGTCAGGCAGTCAGTATATACCCTAGTGGTGGAGGCTTTGTAGAACTTTATTTTGTTTTGTTTTGGTCTTTTTTTGGGCAGGTTTCACTATGGAGTTCATGCTGGCCTAGAACTCCATTGTAACCCAGGCTGGCCTCAAAATCGCAGCTGGGATTACAGTCAAGTGCTGGAATTAGAGGCATGCACCACCACGCCTGGCCTAGAACTTTGTTTTCTTTTTTTGTCTTTTTGAGGCAGGCTTACCCTGTGCAGTTCAGACTGTCCTTGAACTCACTTTGTAGCCTTGGTTGGTGCCGAACTAGCAGGGATCCTCCTGCCTCAGCCTTGTAAGTGCTGGGATTATAGGTGAGTGCTGGGATTATAGGTGAGTGCTGGGATTACAGGCCTGCGCCACCATGCCCAGCCTAAAATTTTGTTTCCTTAGCTATTTTCTAAGAAGAAACTCAAGGTATTTTTATGAATTCTAGGTAAGGATAAGATAGGGTTACTTCCTTTCGGAACTTCTGGTTTGGGGTTTGGCATGGAGTACACAATGGCCTTGGGTGCATACACATATGTATATGTGTAAGAGATGATGGTAAAGATGATCAGTGCTGAGAAAGTGGATATTGAAGAAGGGAGTAGTGCCTGCTGGAGGGGGGTGTTAGGGAGATTTGCAGAAAAGTGACACTAAGCTAGGCTTGGGAAGATGAGTGGGAATTTCCTGGACTTGATGATGTGAACAGCTTGAGGTCATGGACAGGACACTGTGCTGACAGGAGGGTATCTTTGAGTTTGGTCAGTGTAGTGGTTCTTATCTTGTCTGCAGACCCTAGGGAGTCTGAGGTTAAAGGTGATTCTGTGGTAGGCTATGATGTAGATGTTTTCAGTGATAGTACAGTAGCACTGGTGGGTAGAATTGCTGATGCCTTAGCACAAAATCAGGAAAATGGTACCAGGGTTAAAAAAAAAAAGTTTCACTTAACTGTCTTTGATAGGGCAATAAACATTTTTTCATTTTACTAAATGAGAATCTTGACTACATTTTTTTCAATATGGCAGAGTGAGAATACGCATAATTGTTGGGCATGGTGGCACATGCCTGTAATCCCAGCACTCGGGAGGCTGAGGCAGGAGGATCTTTGGGAGTTTGAGGCCAGCCTGGGCTACAAAGTGAGTTCAAGGCCAACCTGAACTGCATATCGAGACCCTGTCTCAGAAAGACAAAAAAAAAAAAAAAAGTACACATAATGAATCCTACTGAATATAGGACAGTAGTTATTTGGGCAAGAGTTGTGTGATAGAATTGCAAGAAGTAAACTTTTTTCCAGGTGATGCTGTTTTTACTTGAATGAATGACTGACAGTAGAGGTTCATACCGTATTAGAGTATTTGGCAGACATCTTCAAAATGAACTAAGAGAACTTGTTAGAGGATAGTTGTCAGTGTGTTGCCAGTGATGAAGTAGAATGTTATGGGTTGTGTTTTGATGTGCCCCCAAAGCCTCATATGGTCATAGGTGTAGCTTTTTCAGTGGTGGCTGAATCTAGTGTGTGATTGATTCATTAATGCTAGGATTAAGGGTAGGTGATTATTAAATCTGTCCACTGATTGGTTTTTTATCACCCCAATCCCAGTGGCCTAGATATAGTATAAGGGACAGGAAGAGGCTTGTTTTGTCCCTAGCTTGTTTTGCTACCTTCTGCCCACTATAAACAGTTTCTCCTCTGTGATGCCTGTCTCCTGTTCCACCCTGCCTTGGAGCCAGCTGATTATGGACTGAAACCTGTACAAACTACCAGTTAAATAAACCTTTCCTTCCTTAACTTGTGGGTGTTAGTTATTCTGTCTCAGCAATGAAAAAAGAAAGACAGAACTTTCCAGTGAAAACTGAAATTTTGGAAAACTTGAGTCTACTGATGTGAGCTTGATAACTTCCTAGTACAATTGTACCTCAGTTCATGAACTTAATTTGTTCTATAGTTTTGGAAAAGATGGCCACATTTGTGTTTGTTGTGTGGGAAATGAAAGATGGCTGCTGTTGTATTTGTCACCTGATGTAGAGTTTGCAAACAAAAACAAAATTCTGCCAAACATTTCGTTTGCCAGCCAAATTGTTTGCCAAAAAAGCA